CATGATCATGGGGCATCTTTCTATTTATTTGTGTCTTCCTCAATTTTTTTCATCAATGTTTTATAGTTTTCCATGCACAGATCTTTCACTTCGTTGGTTAAATATACTCCTAAGTATTTTATTTTTTGATGCTATTGTAAATGGGATTGTTCTCTCAATTTCTTTTTCAGATAGTTTGTTGTTAGTGTTAAAGAAATGCTCCTGATTTTTTGAATATTGATTTTGTAACAGGCAACTTTACTGAATTTGTTTATCAGTTCTAACAGTTTTTTGGTGTGTTATGAACATTTGATTGGTGCCTTGAACCGATGGGGCCAGACTGTACTATTTTACTGTCCTGAGTTTTAGTTCTAGAACAAACACTTGGTCTTATGTGAGTTAAGATTAGGTTAGTAGGTATATGACTTGGCAGCTTAGTTTCTGGCATCATACTCTAAAATTTTTCCATTTTATCAATCATTTTTTGAATCTCTTGCTGTCAAGTACATAAGCATATCATCTTTTACCTGTTGCATAACTTGCTTTTCATTTTCAGAATTGTCATTACTATCCAACAATTCATCTGTGTGCAAATGAAACAGTTATCATTTTCTCATCATTTTCAATTGTGAGTATTTTTAGTTTTTTTTTTTAATCTCCATCACAATTCTACTCCTCTTTTTACAGGACGTATCAACACTCCTACTGCTTCAGCACTTATCAGAGATGTGATCAATAATATTCACGTAACACTTAAGCAGTAACTGAGCAAACATCGCCTATTTAATAATAGAAATGATCCACCCCACAAACCCACTGACTCCCTTGGCTTTGGAGGACAAAGTTGTCTTGCTTTTGCTCTGTTGAGTGGCTTTTCAAAAACCATGTCAGTAGCTTAAAAAACTCCGGAGTTTTTGATTTCCTACTCTCGACGCAAGACGCTTTTTAAAAGACTTCCTTCCTCCACTCCTGGAGAAAGGTGCAATGACTTTTTCCACCTTCGTTAAACTAATTGAGGAATATACCACACTTCTTTGGATTTAGGGAGCAAGGGTCTTGCTAATGAGTTACTTTTTTTCCTTAGCGCTTTAATTTATTCAACAATTTGAGGACCATATTATGGTCCTCACTGTTGGAGTCCTGGAACCATCATGTTGGCTGTATAACTTTGGAGATGTTTCCAAAGTTCTTAGGACCTCAACTTCCTTGCAAACCTGTTGAAAAACATACAGTGGCCGGTGCACAATAGGCTTTCCACCAAGGGCAGCTCTTTGCAATTCTCTGAGGGGCTTAACCGTGAAGAGCAGACGAAGGGTGATCGCTGGTGCTCAGTGAGCCCCCAAATTCCAGGCGCACGCAGTGGAGGCCGAGAAATGCTACTTTGGATCAAAGGCGGAAGGGAGAAGCACCGTGGGCGGTCGAGGAGCTGGAGAAAGCCCCCGCTAGTTAAGCTCAGGCCGGAATTCCCCATTCCTCTACTTGCATCCAGACGCCACTCCACGCCCACCGCGCTCCCCACGGACAGCCCGCCGCGCCCGCCCACGCAGTGACGTCATCGCGCAGCGGCCGGGCGCCGGGCTCACCGCCCACCGAGTGGGAGCCAGAAGCCGGGGGAGCAGCGCCGCAGGGCGTCCCGGAACCGCGGGAGCCCGCGAGCTCGCGCACCTGGGGAAAGCTGGCGGGCGGCTGCGGGCATGCGCGAGGCTGCCGGGTGGCGCAGGCGCCCTGCCTCCCTCGCCGGCCGAGAACCGGTTCTCCGAGTTGGAGCTGGCTGCGCGGCGTGGGCTGTCCTGGCTGCGGGGGAGCAAGGGGAGAAGAAGGAGATGGGGAGGGAGCCCGACTCTTGGGAAGGGCGGGTTTGCCTCTGGGTTGGGGAGGAGCCGGGTGCACGGATCCTGCTGCGCGTCTGTGCTGGGCGCGCCCCAAGAGTTTGGGGTTTGTTTGCAGGAAGATGAAATCAAACAACATGGGCAGACAAAGTGCGACGTGTTTAAGCAAAGAGCACGCTTCGAGTACACGCCCAGAGCCCGGGCCAGTTCTCCCCGGGGGATGGTAACGCACCTGTGTGCCAGGTTCCGAGCAAGGGCTTTCCCTATTTTACTCTCCCGCCGCCACTAACCCTGTGGGGCGGGTATTACTGGGTCTCCAATTTATAGGTAGAGAAATTCAGGACATACTAACTTGCATACAGTCCACACAGCTGAGAAGTGGTGGACTTGCCATTTCTACCAGGTTTGTCTGATTTCAAAGCTCAGTGCTGCCCGTCAGACTTTTGAGGTCATGACTTGGTGAAAATGAGACAGTAAAGACGTTGCGTAAACAAGTGGCAAATCCTCAAGGTTTGGACGTTAAGCGGTATAGGATGGGCTTTAGCAGTCGGATAGGCGCCAAGAAAAAGGAGCTCAAGGTAGGTTTTGAATGGAATTTGGCAAGAGGAAGGAAGAAAGCTTTTGGTTGGCAAGGAAGGGAAAAGCAAAGGCTTGGAGGTGGGACAGGAAACCTGAGGGGAAAGGTAAGAGATTGCCTCAATGGGAGACTTGTGCTTATGGTTGGCTTGCAAATGGAAGCATCTATAGTTTCTAGGCATGGGCTTTTCTTCCAAAATAATGGACTTTCTCTTTTCTGTACTTAGGTTTATGCTGTGATGCACCGTGACACTGTAGCTCTGTTCAGCAAGGTGTATTCTGTCTACTCATTTAACAGCCGGAAACTTCTGTACCTATGACAAAGATGGTATAAGGTGGTGGGTTTATTCCTGGTCCCTGGCCTGAGAGTGGTCTCCTAAGTGCTTGACGGTTCCCTAGCTCCTTTGTGGCTCCAGGAGTGAGAGGAACAAACATTTATCACTCCAAATTCAGTACTCTCTGTGTCAACACCCTCCCTATGTTTAAAAAGAAAAAAATACTGTATCATCTTTGTTTAAAGAAACTTGGCCTGGTGATTTGTTAATCACCAGGGGCCTTATATTGTTGTTATTGCTATAACACAGTTTGCACTACTCAATTTAGCAACCGATTAACCACTATCTTTTATTACCCTCTAATTGTTTGATGGTTATAAATTTTATCTCCTCAGCAAGACTATAAGATTCCCCAAGCAGGGACTGTGCTATCTCATATCCCCAAGTGCTGACTTAATTGATTTTTCAAATGTCTCCTTTATTTTCTGCTGAATCCTCACCACTCAGTACCTTTCCTGGCACATAACTAGGCACTCGGTAAATATTTAATAAATAAAATAATGCCTCCTGGAGAGCAGGAACAAGACTTTTTTTTTTTTTTTTTTTTTTTATAATTTTCCTGGTCCCCTAGAAGAATTATCTCTTTGTGGTGGGCACTCAGCAAATGTGTGACTTCATTGCTGTGCCTTTCAGCAGGGAAAATATAATCCCCCCGTTGCCCTATAAAGAATTGCCACCTGAACACGATGCCCCCAGGATGTCTGCCAAAAAACAGTTGTTTGATAGATTGAGTAGCCTCAAAGACATTCTTGATTCTTTTCTAAACTGTACATCTGCCCTTCCACGATAAACCATATTCTTGGTTATGTTTGGTGGGCTGCCTAAGAAATTCTTTAGGAGAATGTGTAATTTGAGTATCTTCTTGACTTCAGAAGGCAAGCCAAGAAACCAGTAAAAAACCAAACTAAACCAACAACAAAACCCAATAGCAAACAGGACCTTTGTGTGTAAGAACCCTATCTGCAAATTTTAAAGGTTATGCCCCTAGGAGAGAGAATGCTCTGTGTGAGTGTGTGTGTGTGTGTGTGTGTGTGTGTGTGTGAGTGAGTGAGAGAGAGAGAAAATTTACAGGGCTTTAAATTTACAGTGACATTGCATTCACTTCATTTTATATTTGAAGGGAGATGGCCTGAAAAATGTGTCGGCAACTACTTTGGGTGAGAAAGATTCTGGTTCTTTTTTTCTTCAAACCAATTAGGCTGGATCTGAGGAGGATTTATAATAGAAAGCAGATTTTGGGTGCACAAGAACTTTATTACAGTTAGGCGATGCCGAGTCTACACCATTGTCCTGTCAGCCTGTTCAGCTGACAGCAAAGACTCCATGGGATGGGACGAGGGTAGGGAGATGATGAGTTCAGGTAATGCCTGAACATAGGAGAGTCAGAAATTAGAGCAAATTCTCTTAAATATAATATTTTAATTCAATGGCTGCTAAATCTGGCCCATCTTCCATTTATTAGCTGTGGACCTCAAGGGCTAGTGACTTAATATTTCTGAGCCTCAGTTTCCTCATTTGTGAAGTGGGGATGATAACGGTAATTAGAGTTACAGTGTGTAAATCTGTAAAGCGCTTAAAGCAATACCTGGCACATCGGCACATAGCAAGCGCTTTGTTAAATGTTTGGTAGGTAAATACTAGGCTACGCTCACCGTCACTGCTACACAGTTAGCCACTTGTAAACGCCACCTATATTGAAGTTGTGGGGACTCCCGTTGTTTCCGATTACAGAATTTTCCTGACCCATGCAATTATTTTTGCTGCCCTCCACAAGGCTATAACTCGCCCTAAAAATTTGGGATGTCTGTACTCTTCTCCCCGCCCCTCCGCAGTCGCGGTGGGGGCATGAGGGGGAAGGGGACACATCCTCCTTCCTCCCCGCCTCCTATCTTCGCCGCTCGCAGAAGCGCTAGAAACCACCCCGCAGCGCTCCCCTCCGGGAACGCCCCCAGGGGCGGGCCTGTGGCGGCGCGCACGCGCACTGCAGCAGCGCTGCGCCTGCGCCTTGGAGGGGCTCAGGGAGGCGGGGGATTGGTATGCGAGCGAATGTGTGAGGGGAGGGAGGCGTCCCGGCCGAGCGTGGTACTACGACGAGCGCGGGCCGGAGGGGGCGGGGGGATGCGCCGCGGCGGCGGCGGCGCGGGCGCTGGGGCTGGTTGGCGGCGCCAGAGCAGCGGATCCCGGTCTCTCCGCGGCAGCAGCGCGGGTGTCGCGCACGGCCTGAAGACGCCGTACCTTTCTGCCCTCCACCTTTTTTTTTTTTTTTAAATAACCAGAACCAATGAACTCAGAAGGGACCCGAGCTCCGGAGGCCGCCGGTGCCGAGGGGACCAGGCTGGCGGCCGGCGGGAGCCCGCGGCTGAGGCGGCGGGGGCGGCCCGAGAAGTCGCCAGCGGCGGCGGCGCCTCGCGGAGCGGACGAGTGGCCGGCGGCCCGGGCGCCGCTGCGCTTTCACCCCGCTTCTCCTCCGCATCTGCATCCCGCCGCGACTCCCGGCCCGGCCTCGGGCTGGCTGCGGCGGCGGCGTTGGGCTGCGCTGCTGGTGCTCGGGCTGCTGGTGGCCGGAGAGGTGGACGGATGCGAGCTGGTTCCGAGGCACCTCCGCGGGCGGCGGGCGACCGGCTCTGCCACGGCAGCCGCCTCTTCTTCCGCCGCGGTGGCAGGCGATAGCCCGGCGCTCATGACAGGTGAGGGCCCCGGGGGGCGGCGGGCAGGGCTTGGCCGGCCGCGGTGGGACCCCCATTTCCCCGGGAGGGGTCCGCGTCCCAGCCGGGCACCCGCTATTCGACGGCCCGGGCCAGAGCGCGATACAGAGCCTGGCGCCCGGACTCCGGCGCTCTGGCTGCTGTTTCGTCGTGGTCCCTGCACTCCGGACGCCTTCCCTTTTCACCCCAACACCCCGCCCTCGACTGAGCCTCTAGACGGCAATCGCTTCCCCGCCCTTCAGTCGGGCTCGGCGATCTTCTAAGCTGAGCAATGCGGTGGTTTCTCTTTAGTGCTGCAGAAGAGCCAGCAGGGTCTGCAGGGTGCTGGACTGATTTTTTTTTTTTTTTGGAGCTGCTAGAAAAAGTCAGCAGCAGCAATGCGGTATTGAGTCTGCCTCTGGTGCTGCTTTTGCAAAGGCAGCTGGCAGCGAGTCTCACCGATTTAAAGCTCCGCTGAGCACTACGTCCCAGGGGAGGCTGCTAAAGAGGATTCTTTGAGAGCCATGATACCTAGTGATATTAGTGGTTCCGTATTAGTATGCAGAAACGTCTAAGTCTAATGTGTATTTTTTGAGGGGTGGAAGAAAACCCTTTTTTAAGGATGGGAAGTATTTGCTGGTGAGAGCATCACTGGGTGACAAAGGGTGCAGAAAGCTTAGCAGGTAACTAGACATACCTAAAATTTGCTAAATGCAGGATATTCCAGGCTTGCATTTGAGCAGCACAGTTCTCATAGACTACATTACACCCTTTTAATGTAGAACATTCTCGCACTTGAAAACTTGCGAACATGTTTGGTAAGGTTAAGTAGAAAATTGTATCTTTTTAAAGCTTTCCAGTATCATGTACAACTGATCTGTTGTGGTTTAAGAAACGATTTCTTTGGGACAGTAGTGGAGCTAAAGTAATGCTTATTTTTCTTAGTACTTCACTCATTTATTTTAAAAATAGATCTGTAGATTTTCTGCATTAATTGCAAGATTAAAAAGGAAAACGTAAAGTGGAATAAGACGACCCATGATTAATTTAACCCAAGTGACAGTCCAACAGGCGTCTGGAAGTTACTAACAGCTGCTTTGAGAAGTGCACACTCCTGCTATATTCTTTAGCGCAAAGCAGTATTCTCTGTGTTCTACGACAGGATATTTACTATTCTAGAGGGAAGAAGGATGTTGGTAATCTTTGTCAAGCACTTTTGAAGTTGTACGGTATAGAACATAATGATAAGCATATTTAACTTTACCCTGAAACATATCCAGCCCTGTTGAATGGAACTGGAAACATCATACCTATCACTGGGTAATTTGGATAAAATGATTATAAAATATTCCGTATTAGGAGCTTAGTATAGTTTGTGTGAGAGAATAGGTTAGATAGTTTTATGCTTGAATAGTCTTTATTCTCCAACTAAAAATGTGGTAAATAATAATGTGAACAATAGTGATTATCAGGAAAGTAGCTAGATAAGACTAATTTGAAGATTTAATGCCTCATGCAGGAAAGGAAGGAGCAGAAATATTTGGGCTTCTAGAAGCTGTAGCAGTGTGATTCTTGGTTTCTGGAGCAGAATAAATAATTGGCTAATGCTTTATCAAAATGTAATCGGTAAAAAGGCAAGCAATTCAGAAAATGTAGTGTTTATTGACCACTCACAAGTATATTTTATGTTATGTAGATCATATCAAGAAAAATACTTACAATGGAATTTTAATGAGTAGTTTGTAATTCTTCCTTTTAAAACTTAAAGTTCTCTGTAGTTATTTATGACATTATGGGAAAAAAAAGGTGATTCTTACTGGGAAAAAGTCTGATATATCACATAAGATGAGTTTGTGTTGTAGGGCTTTAAAATAAATTTACTAAAATAATGTTAGCCCTGAAATTATTTCTGTGTTCTTTTTGCTTCTTTTGTTAGAATATTAATTTTCACCAAGTTAAACACTTCTGTTGAAAGTTTAAGATCATAAAACTATACGAGGTGCAAGTTAAATTGCAGTCATTTTAATAAGTTTATATAAATATAGTCGATAGCATTGATATCTTGGAAAAGGTAAATTGAAAATCCATGATGAAGTTAGAACATATTGAAAATTTCTTTGAACTATATGGTCTTTGTAGGGCTCCTTTCTATTCTTAAGATTGTATGAACAGTGCTTTCTTTTATGGTGTCATTTGTAAATGTTGTACTAAGCCTAGAACATAATTTATTAGTGTTATTGTACACTTTAGGAAATAGATCCATGGACTGAACTTACAAAATGCTGCAGTGTCATATTCTAGGCAGTGTTAATGGGTAGAGCATCAATAATAAGAGAATTAATTGAAAATTTTTGAAAGAATCCTGAGAGAAGAATTGTTCTCTCTGGCTCTTGGTTAAAGTTGTGATTTTGCTGTGAGTGTTCTTAATAGCTCTGTAAAATGACAGCCCAGATCACTTTTCTCTTTTCCTCTTCAGATTGGTATTTTTAATACTGACCTTTAGAAACTTCGTAAGAGTTTGCCTTTTACTAATGAAATCTAAAAAACATTCCTTTCCACTGAAGTTTGCCTCTTAACGGTTTTACTTTAGGGATTTAGTGTATTTTAAGAATAAATTACCTTTAAATTATCTATCCTGTGCTGAGTTTTGAGCAAGTAAAATGTTCTTATAGAGAGGCTATGAAAAATCATCAAAATAGACCAATTGTCTAATGAATACAGGTTTATATTTTGTTTTCTTTTTTTATATGCTCTTTTAAGAATTCAGTGTGCAAATGTTTTTGATAAGGTAGAACCAATATTTTTGATGTTATATAGTAAGGTTAGTAACATAAGGGTTTAAAATTACATATGTAGTTCGAATATATTTAGTCGTCTTACTTTGAAAGTAATTGAAATTTAAAGCAAGTTAGGGATTGGTGACTGAGAGCTTGCTTACTGTAAAGTTGTACTTTAATAATTTAAAAAATTACTTTTTTTTCTTTTTTGCCTAACATATTCAGAATTAATGAATTGATCCCAGTGGGGAGTGATTGGGTCCCTGAAAATATGCAGAATAATTGAAACATTAAAAAGTTTTTTCCTATATGTAGTTAATTGTTTCAGGATTTTTTTTTTTTTTTTTTGGAGACAAGGTCTTGCTCTGTCACCTGGGGTGGAGTACAGTGGCATCATCATAGCTCACTTCAACCTCAAACTCCTGATCTCAAGCAATCCTCCTGCCTCAGCCTCCTGAGTAGCTGGGACTACAGGTACATGGCACCACATTTGGCTAATTTTTATTTTTTGTAGAGATGGGGTCTTGGTTTTGCTCAGGCTGGTCTTGAACTCCTGGCCTCAAGCGATCTTCCAACCTTGGCTTCCCAAAGTGCTAGGATTACAGGCATGAGCCACCTTGCCTAGCCTGTTTCAGGATTTTTAAAAACAAAATTTTTAACTTTGAAAGTATTTGCTTTTATCATTTTAACAAAATGAATTCAAGTAACATTCTTTAGTGCCTATATAAAGGCTTTATGTTAACTGTAATACCATGTCACTAATTTGGCATGTTTTTAGAAATATAAAATACGTATTTTAAAACATATCTTTTAGAAGTATTAAAATTTCAATGAAAATTTGAAATACTCTTAGTTGAAAGCATAATACCATTTAGATAGTCCACTTTAACCAGTAGTGTTAAACACATCTGTGTTGTCAGACTTTAATAAATAATCTCAAGTTAGCATGATTATCATTGGAAAAATCTTAAATTGAACTTTTAAGTATCTCACATTGCATTCCTAACATTTATCCAGTAATGTTATCACCTTATATTTTTTTATTCCTAGTTGGCTTGAGTGTGGAATATGTGTTGCTTCAAGTAATATTTTTATGAAGAATTTACACATTAATGTTTACATTGTGACAGTAGTTAGACTCATAATGTAGTTCACATAATATTAGAAACTTGTCCCTCTTATGATGTTGCTTTTTGAATTTAGCTAATAATTTCCTGAAGTCATCTTTTGATGGTCATCTGTTGTATCCTCTTTTTCCTTCTTCGTAGTTATCATTACTTGTCCTTTTCTTCACCAGTCTTTGACCATTGTTGTAGTTGTATTGTTGCTAACTACAGGATTAAAGAATCTACTTTCAGAATTAAGTAGTAATTCTTAATTTAAGAACTAGTAGTATTCTTACTGGTCTGGGAACACTGCATCCTTTGGTATTCTTAAGAATACCATGGCAGAACTGATTGGTCTGTCTTGGAAATCTCATGGCACAGGAACAACTCAGAGGGCCAGTTGGAAAAGTGCATTTAAGATTTAGCTTAATTTTATACAAAACGATGACACAGAAATTCTTTAATTTGTTAAAGGCTTGCTTTGTGGATGGATACATGTTAATATTTTTAGATTAATTTAGACTTTTGAGTAATTATATCAGACATCTTGGATATTGGCCTAATCATTGATATGTGTTGTGAACACTTTCACAATGGTGCTTGGAGATCTGTAGATGTATATGGTATAGTTAAAATATAAACTGGTTACACTAATATGATTAGCAAGCCATTTTTGATATTTGCTGAAGTTTGGACCTTACCTTGTTAGGCTCTACCTAGGAGATTACTTATGTATTAATCAGGTTTCATCAACTAAACAATTACTAAGCACATGCAGAAGACCACATACTAGGAATGGGAAGGAATACAGGCAAGAGTAAGACATGGGATCTGCCTCACTGGGAACTTAGACTAGTTTGGGTTAGGTAATAATGGATACATTTAGTAAACTATTACTGTGTGTCAGTGTTGTGCTAAGTGCTTTTTATACATCACCACTTTTTGATTCTGAGACTTAACTCTATTAAATAACTGCTCTTTATATGATAGATGAGGAAACTGATGCAGGTGATATTTTTATATAACTTGCCCAAGGTCACACCTAGTAAGTAGCAGAGTTAGATGTTGACTTGGGTTTCTCTGATTCCAGAGCTTCGATTCTTAACTGGTATGTTGTATG